TGCGCGCTTGTTTTCGCCAAAATTGCACGGCAAAGTTCATACTTTTCTCCCGTGCGACAGCCAACCGATCCATATAGCAACCTCTGTTGTGCTTCTTCCTCCAATGTCTACAGCGGAGGCAATGAATCCTGTTTTGCAAAATGGTAATGTTATGAAACTTGTGGAGAAGTTGTGTTTTTTCTTTGTGCGGTTCCTGCGGCAACAAAATCCTGTGGACAATGCTCTTCGTTCGGTCAGCAGAGAAAACGTGAATGGTTCCGTGTTAAGAGAGCTTTTTGTTTGCCTTGTAAGCCGACAAATCCCTTCCAATTTTTCTTGCCAAACATGCACGGCAAAGATCTCGTTTTCTTCCCGTCCGACAGCCAACCGAAGCGAACACCAAGCTCTTTTGCACTTCGTCCGCGAACGTTTGCAGCAGAGGCCAGGGATCCTGTTTTGTAAAGGCGGCAACAATGTAATGTGGCAGTTGCGGGAGAAATGTGCATGTTTTCCGTGCATGGTGTTGCAGCAAGATCCTGGGAACGATGCGCCCTGGACCCTCCCAAAAACCTTCCCACATGCTTGAGTCCCACCACCCACTCTTCTCCCGCAGAAATATATCGCCAAATCCCTAATTCTTCTTCGCAAAATCTGCTGGCGAAGCCAGATTGGGATCCATCCCATTCCAACTTGAACCGGTATGATTCGATGCATTCTGTTTGGGGTCTTCGCTGGTGTAATCTTCATTGATATTTTTCGATATGGACGCGACTTTGATAGAGAATGATATATTCATTTCTGATTCGCGCCCAGATAGAATTTGGAATCATTTCTTTCTTTAAAAAATGCAGCGTCCTATCAAATCGGATGATATGAAACGATAACACCCGAAATAGCCTATCTAAAATATGTTAATTTAGAATTTAGATTTGTCTTCGAATCATGATTTGGGTCTCATTATATCGTATTTGGATTCGTTTATTTCGCGATCGGATTCGGGTCTATTTAGGATTCGGGGCGAGTATTTTTCGTGATCGATTCATTTTGTATTTGTAGAGTAGAGTCTAGGATATCTAAATTCTTAGCGAAAAAAATTTGATTTCATTTATAGATATATCTTTAGAATAAATTATTCGTATTCATTCTTATATAATGAATATTTTAGCATCCGCATAAGAAAAAAATATTATTATTTATTCTCAATTCTTTGAGAGAGGAAAAGATATCCAACATCATAATTCTTGAATCTTTCGAAAATAAAGTAAACTCTATAAATTATTGAAAAATATATTAAAATTACAAAAAAAACGATAATTTTTTTTCAATTTAATCAACGAACGATAATAATTCATAATATATTTTTCCAATATATAGAAATTCCAAGTTGATAATTTGATATTGATGTCTTTAAATATATCTAAAATTTCATCCTTCTTGAAATCTTCAATAAGAGATTGAATTTCAAGATTCAGAATTGAAATCTTTCAAATCTATCTATCGATAATTGAAAGATTTCGAATCTTAAATCGAAAATATTATATTCTAAAATCGAATATTTTTTAATCTATTTTATTAAATTATTAAATTTGATATCATGTCATATTTTCTTCGCAACAAAATCTAATCATAATCATTATATTCATTTCCAATTATTTCTAAATCCGAATCTGAAATCTTAATCTACGAATCGAGTATTTACCACTATTTATAATCCTATTATATCTCAAGTTTTCTTTCTAATATGCGGGCGAAATCTTATTTATTGTTCTTTTTTTTTATATTTCATGTATGAATTCCTCTAATATTCTACTCTTATATTCTTTTTAGAATCAACAAGAAAAGAAAGATTAATATTCTATTCTTTCTCAAATATGAAAAATAATCTATATTTATAGATAAGTGATTTTTATTAGCAATTTCGAAGATTTAATTTATACATATTTATATATATATATAATAAAAATATATATATATATATATATATATATAATTTTTATAAGAATATATGATAATATATTTTTATGACAAATATAAAAATCTAGAGATAGAATATATGACATTTAAAAATGACATATATATATATATATTATCAAAATATTTCGTTTCATAGAAATATCAAAAAAAAAGATGAAATATTATCAATAGAATTTCAAGAAAATAAATTTTCTATTTATTGAAATTCTCTAATAAAACGGTGTCGTGCCGCTTGCGTGCATGATTTTGTGCGCACTCTGGTCTCCCTGGAATGCGGTCGTTTGCGGCATCTCTTCGTGAAAGCTCTTGTATGTCTGTCTCGAGCTACTAAAATCCTGGAAATTTTAGAACCGCGAGCACTTCTCTCCCGGCTCTAAAATCTCGGAGATTTTGGTAGCTTTAGGAAATCTCACGGTGTTAAAATCATTCAAATTTTGGTAGCTTTAGGCTGAGATGCTCCCGGTAATAAAATCTCGGAGGTTTTGGTACAGGCACCTATACCCCGCCTGGGAGTTGCATGTCTGCTTATACTTGCCTGTTTGGGAGTTGTATATCCTCTTACATTTGCTCGACTTGCCACACACTTCTTCCGTTGGCTTCCGGCTCTTGCCACTCATATAATTGAATATATTTCGATAGGTTTAGGGCGTCAACTCAGCCGAGCATGCTAATCCACATGCCGTCAAAGCCACGAGCCGAGCTAACTTTATGCTTGGTAACTTTAGGCTGAGATGCTCCCGATAATAAAATCAATCTCGGAGGTTTTGGTATAGGCACCTATACCCCGCCTGGGAGTTGCATGTCCGTATATACTTGCCTGCCTGGGAGTTGTGCACTTCTTCCGTTGGCTTCCGGCTCTTGCTACTCACATGATTAAACATATTTCGATAGGTTTAGGGCGTCAACTCAGCCGAGCATGATAATCTACATACCGTCAAAGCCACGAGCCGAGCTAACTTTATGCTTGGTAGCTTTAGGCTGAGATGCTCCCGGTAATAAAATTAATCTCGGAGATTTTGGTGCAGGCACCTATACCCCGCCTGGGAGTTGCATGACCGCTTATACTTGCCTGCCTGGGAGTTATATGTCTTCTTACATTTGCTCGACTTGCCGCGCACTTCTTCCGTTGGCTTCCGGCTCTTGCCACTCACATGATTGAATATATTTCGATAAGTTTAGAACTATCTTTTGAATATATTTCGATAAGTTTAGAACTATCTTTATGCTTACTGTATGCCAGAATGTGCGAACTATATAGTCCTACGATATTGAATATTACTACACGTCCAAAAGACTCTGCCGCCACTTTTTCCCGCTGCTAGAGACAACGGGTCCACTGTAGTTTAATTTAAAATCAATTATTACTTTTCTTCAGCAGATATTATAATTTCAATTATTAATTTCCTCAATCTATATTATAATTCAGATAATAGAAAATATTTATTAAATAAATTAATATATATCTCTATTAAAATAAATTTTATCAAATTAGTTACTAATATATTATATAGAGATCTATAGAAATTATGAATAATATATTTACAAAAAAGTTAGATATCATGAGAAGAGATAGATTCATATAATATCTACCAAATAATAATCATATAAAATATTTCGATAGAAATTAATTTCAAAATGAAATAAGATATATGCATAAAGGAAACAATGTATGAAAATTATTTTCGAATATAACTTCTCATTCTTATAATAGAAAGACATATCATAATTATAAGAATATCCTATTATATTAATTTTTTGAATTCGTATAATCAAATCAAAATATATATCGATCTATAAATTTTAAGAATAATAATATACTAATATCTTTTTCTTATACTACGACGAATCAATTATTATCTCTTATCTCTCTCCGAGATATCCCTATATCATCATATCCAGATATCCTACGAAATGAAATTGAAATTCTCGGGAGATATCATAGAAATATCACCAAGAACTCGTATAAAAAGAAATATTACAAAAACCTATGAACATTTGCGTGATATCACACATACAAATATTATGATACGAGTTCGTGATTTCGATGTACTAACATTTCATAATAGAAATGTATTAGTATCCTACACAAACATCCATAATTCTACGTACACCCCCTACCCGCTTACATTCTTATCTTTTACTATATTTCTTCATGACAATCTCTTTTATCTCGTCTGACTAAATCTTAGAGAATTTAATATAACGAACGCTTCTTTCTTTCTTTATCTCTCTCTACCTATCTATCTAGCTTTCTCATTCTCTACCTCTCCACGATTGTATTATATATGAATTTCTCGCTTAGATACAAAATCTATATTTAAACGTTCGAATTGAAGATCGAATATAAAATTTACACAAGATTCCATTTATATAAAATTACTAAGTATACGCAACTTTATTAATTCCGCAGAGCAATATAAGCTGCAAAAAAGTTTCATATTTCCATACTCCTTATCGTCTTCCATGGACCCCACTCAAATAGAGAATACAACTAACTCACGGGTGTGCTCCACGACCACTACTAGAAGCAACGAACCCCCCTTAGTATATATATATATATATATATATATATATATATATATATTTTTTTTTTTATTATTCATACCTATTTAGATAAACGAATCCAGGAATCATCACCCGATCGCACAGAGATAAAGAAACAAACAAACACCCACACGCACACAAATATATTATACTGTAATAAGACAATTACTACTTGCTACATGTCAAATTGGTCAAATTCGATGATTGAGTTGAAAACTTTTTCGAAAAAACAATATTACCTGTTTTGCTTATTTCCGAATTTCTCCAGCCGTGGATAAATACATATACAACATAACTGAACATATCAAATGTAATCATAGTTTGAAACATATTCAATAGAATAAAGTTCTTGTATATAACAGTATACGAGTCTTCGTTCTCATTCTCGATACCTCATGTTGGAATGATAGGAAAAATTGTAGAAAATACACTCCTATATTATTCCAGTAGATGGTTTCAATTGATATTATGATGTAATCTTAGTATATTTTGGATTGCTGGATTCACGGCGGCTCCTGGCACAAGGCATCACATGAAGCACGATTACGCAGCACGTCTGTGCAGATTCGAATGTTCTTCCTTCTCACTTGCTACATCCCAACACAGCCCCAGCAAAACACTCGAAATACGTGCTGTCCGGTTTACAAGGCAACCGCAAAGTCTTAGACTTCTGGCTCTTGGCGACTGGTGCATTTCCACACACGACAAACCAACAAGCTTCCATGTTGTTGAATGGGGCTTATTTGACGAATGGCCTCGACCCCAACTGCGGTCCCGTGGTGCAGAATGCAGCATGCAAGCACCCTTCGCGTGACTTCGAACTCGTAGGCGCAGTGGGCACCTTCTTCGTCTTGTCCTTTTTCTGCTTGCGATCTTTCGGCTTCTTTGCGCCGTCCTGCAGATGAGAGTCATGAAACAACGCATGTTGACAGGGCAACGCCCGAGGCGAGGCTACATCCTTTCTGCCTCTCGTTCAGCTCTTCTTTTAGACAAGTGGACGGTTTGGGCGTGGATTTCGAATTTCCTAAGAACCAGAATCAGCCCCTGCTGCCTTCCCAACCACAAACACAAGCTTTGTGCACAAACATGCAATATCTATCTATATATATATATATATATACATACATATATATATGTATATATATATGTATGTATGTATGTATGTATGTATGTGTGTGTGTGTGTGTGCGAATACATCTATTTTTACATGTCAACTCATGTACAACACACATCATGTTGAGGATATCGAGCATGCACTACACACAGTTGCATATACCTGGATACACAGATACACACACACACACACACGTTCATCTCCAATTGCTGGGTCCCCGTGCGGATGTACTCGGCCTGGGCAAGTGCTGCTTCAGCAGCTCTGCCGCCTGGCAAGATTCTCGAGGCCTAACAACGGGCCAACAAAAGAACAATTGTAATTAATTTAATTGTTATTGAAGGGTTGTTGTACGGTTGTAGAATGTTGTAGATGCCCACGTTCATGATGGCACTTGCCTCTTTGTTGTCGGCACTGCTGTTATCATCTCTTTTGAGACCACCGGGATCGCAGTTGCAGCAATGTAGGCGCGAGGGTTGTTTACACTTGGGGGGACGTCGAGAGAAACTATCATAGCTACAACTACAACACCCTGGGAAGCAAGACAAAGGGGTCCAGGACAAGGAAAGAGCCCTAAACCATGAATTGGCAGGCGGTCGAAACCTGACAAACCAGGATCATGCGTGATGCAAGCACCCGTAGGCTTCAGGAGCTCGTTCTCTTCTCGAGTGGAAGTTGGCCAAATACGAAATCATATCACCGGTGGGACGCCTGCGCGTGTCCAAAGAGGTCAGCCATATGAACAGCTTGCCGTTCCTGGCCCCTCGCCTGTCACACCGGGCCCCTTTCGAGAGCTCTTCCCGACTAGATTCAAATTGCTTGTCGTGTGACGTAAGTTCCCTCTTTTGGCTCTCCTGATAAGCTCTGGATGACAGGCATGTGCTGCTATTGCAGCTTTGGGTGCTTTCCGAAAAACGCGAGGTGGGCACATGAAGGGACACATCACTTGCAGACGCCTTCTCCCACGAGCTACATTCGAGCCCAGTTCCTCATCATCTAAAGTCCACAGTGTTGCCGACTATATCGGGCCATTAAGGAACGAGGCGCGCGTCTACGGCAAGGTAGCTGTACAGTTGTGTGTACTTAGGCTCGAAGAGGCCCGCAACACAGGCAAGCAGGACAGGCTTAAGCAGCACACGCTTAGCTAGCACATAGTGAGTTTGCACTCGGCAAGCATGTCGAAGTCATCAAGAGTTACCAAAACACTGTCTGGCACGCATCTGCTCTCAAAGGATGTCACATGTTCATGCTATGACGGCATTCCCTGGTCGCACCCCGCGCAGTTCTTCATGCAGGGAGGCTTTGGCTGAAAGCAGCGCCTCATCAGCAATGACGTAGGACCGGGTAATCAGGTCAAGTGGGGACTTGATTCTGACCATGCCTGATACGAGCTGTCTTGCAGCATTCAAGTAATCCTTGAACAAGCTGACATTTCGAGGCGTCTGCAGATGAGCTGTGCGGTCAGCGAGACCAGGACCACAAGCATTGGCAGGGCAACAGGACGGAGCCACTTGCAAAGAGAACCCGGGCCTCAAGTGTAGCTTTGTGGCCACCCATGGCGGCCAACATCAGCGGCGTCACACCGCCACTCGCCGTGCAGTCGACCTCCGGTCGGCGTCAGAGCACAAACTTCAGAGCCGGAGTCCGGAGTTCTACAGTACGGAGCAGGAGGTGCAGTTGTTTTGAGGAGCGGTTTGCGCGGTTGCCTGGCGAAGCTGGCGCACTTCGGCTTTGTGCAATCAGCTGTCCCCTCTGACTCTCGCCCTTTGGCGAGACGCACGGAACAAAACTCTTCTTCTGGAAGCTCTTCTCGCGCCCCCCTCAGCTGCATGTGCCGAAACCTAATGCGCACCTAACATCCTTCCCGCTTGGATGAAAGGCCGAGGGAGTCGACGGCCCGAGCCCGGCGGCCAAGGCGGCCACAACAGCGTTCACACGCATCGAAACTCCTGCCATCCCGTGCCTGCGCCTCCGCATTGAGAAGCATAGGTACGATCTTGCTCCGGCCATGTGCCTCACACGCAACATGCCGGCCCTCTTGTCTTCATTGTTGGACTTACTGCGCAACACTTCTGAATTATTGCACTTCCTCAATGAAGTACTCTCAGCCTGTTGACTTTCGGCGGCACTGTTGGCATAGTCCAGTTGTCGTCATTGCTGCTGCTGTGCAATGTCTGGGACGGAAGTTGCAACGGCCCCACGGCTCCGGAAGTAGTGACAGTGGAATCGCTGTACGTATACAGCTCGTTGTCCATGCGCTCGGGGCTTTGAGTGGGCGTGCGGCTCAAAAATGAAGGTCCCAACGAAGCCCCTTACTGCAAGCAAGACACTCCATACAGTAGCATGCTCAAACACTGAAGCTGCCAAGACTGGTGCTGCGCAAGAAGTGTCTGATAAAGCACCATGCAAACTCCATGGCAACCAAATCCAACGATCGCGTCATGACGGACCGCCGGCAGGCACAGCAAGGAACTGGGCCCGGCGCAGCAGCGGCATGTAGGGCAGTGTACCTGTTATAGTCACAGTGCTTCCGGTCCTACTCGTTGGACTGGCGAAACTTTCAATTCATCAATGAATCGGAACAACAGTAGCATAAGTGCTGGTCGCAGTGTAAGCCGTGACAGTAGATGAGTTCATCCTGTCGCAGGGCTAACCTTAAACCCTAAACTTTAGAGGCGCGAGACCCTGCACTTCACCGCGCACCCATTCTCCGTGGCTGCCGTCGCCTGGACTCGACTCGCTAGCAAAGCCTGGACGGTGGAGACCTCGGCGACTGGCAAAGCGCCCTTTGGGGCCCAGAGCAACCAAAGCGAGCATCGTAGTCCCACCCCCTAAACCCTAGACCCTTTTGGCTTGGACGCCGACCTCCTTGCGGCTCCCGGTCTCTTTCCGTGAGCTAGCGAGACTTTCCGCTTCAAGGTCCCCTCAGCTGGCATCGGGGAAATCTAAGGCACGAGCAGCTCCGTCCGCAGACGCCTTTCGCAAGTTATCCTGGGAGAACGGCTATGGAGAAAAACATCGGTTCGGGCCTGGAATTTCGCTGCTGTTCGTGCAGATGGTGCATGCCCCACGGCCCCCTAGGAATCGACAAGAAGCGAGAAATCCAAGCGAAGGATCCACACCAGCCGCAAGCATTCCGGCAAACGCCGTAACAAAGGGGCCTAAATGATTACCTATGCTATTTTGGGGGTTCTTTATTAACAACATAGTATAATGGCACCCAAAACCCTAGTCTAATTATTAAGGCCCCTATATTATAGAAACCACAAGAGCAGCAATCCATCGGCCGAGCAAGCTTCGAACGAAAGGCTCGGGCTTCAAAAAGCGCCAGAATTGAAAGCTATTTTTAGGGGCCGTAAGAATTAAAAGATGGTGTTGGGGCCCACTATACTATACTTATAATAAGGACAGCCCAAAGTCGTTTTGGTTATTCCAGCCCTTTCTTAACATCCCAGACCGAAGCTGGCTTGGTAAAACCCGGTGTACAAGCGTAGGTTTTTAGTTTGGGATAGTGTCAACAGGAGCTGTAAGGGAGCCCGAACTTGCGGATGTCTCTCTTTACAGCGTAGATCACAAGAGCTCTCATGAAGTCAGGACTGACTGCTGGATGATCCACAGAATGGCTGAGGGCGACTCCTCCGCGGTTCGCGGCGGCCGGAGGAACCTAGAGCCGAAGGCTTAGTGTCGCTTGAATAGGCCTTGTGGGAGCGTGCTACTCGTCCTGGGCCTGTAAACTCGACAAGCCTGACCTCAAGTTCATACCGATCTTTCTGCGAAGATTGCTGAGCTAAGTACAAAGCAATCCGTCCACTGACTCCACTGACTGACGAGCCTACACCGACTCTCGAGAGTCCAGTTTCACAAGGACTACCACCGACAGTACGATCACGACTACGACGACGACGACGACCACTAAAGCTGCTGCTACTGCTGCTGTTACTGCTACTCCTACTTACTACTACTACTTCTACTACTACTACTACTACTACTACTACTACTACTACTACTACTACTACTACTACTACTACTGCGGCTGCTGCTACTACTACTGCTGCTGCGGCACGAGTCGGCGACTGCGAGTACGCCCGTCACTACGAGCACGACGACGACGACTACTACCGCTAAGACTGCCGCCATCGTTAGCGCTCATTCTGATCCGCAGCATTGTGACGACTCTCGTGACTCTTCCTGCTCTGACTCTTTTTGGAAATTCATCTTGCAGCGATTCGCCGGAAACCTGTGCTGCTCCAAAGACCAACACCAGCTGGCCATATTTTAACCAGGAACCACGTGATCTCTAAGCTTGACAATCCGAGTGGCTTTGGCGCTGGCTTCCGAGCCTTTGCATTGAGACTGTCTTCGGTTAATCAAAAATCAATCGCCATGCAAGTTGTGTTGCAGCATGTAGAAGTGTCCACCAATCTTCGACATTGCGTTAAACGTCGTGTGCATTTGTCTCAAGAGCATCGAACTACCGAGGAAACTTCTACACACAGAAATGATAATCCTCGCATCAGAGATGGAACTATCATGATCTTCTCTTCATCACCAGCGTGACCATCGTCATCAGTGTCGTCATCGTCGTCGTCACCGTCATCGTCACCATCATCACCATCATCGTCATCATCGCTGTAGCAGTTCAAGGTGGTTTGTCCAGTCAGCCTCCGGACCTTTCGGACGGTAGCATTCAAAGGAATTTCCAGCCCTCACTTCGCCCATGAATAATTAAGTCGTTAAGTACAGCAGGGTCAAGTACGTGAATTACCGCCGCTTCCAGTACTGTACGAACGTCGCATATCGTGGAGTGCTGTGTTGTGATCAGGTGAAGCATTTTGTGACACTCTTTGCGCTCTGAAGGGGTGCATTGAACGCATGCAGCACCGTCGTCGATACATGTCCGCTTGCACGCACACATGTCGGAGTCGAAAATGGGGATTTGCTCTGGCTCTGACCCTTTGCAAAGCTGCCAGGGCATCGGAACACTGAACACGGATTCTGCATGTACCGCCGAGAACCAAAGTCGAGTTGTAGGCTACAGGGGATAGAGACTGCAATCATGGCAGCTGCTGATTTGGCTGGAATGAACAGGGAAGAGACTCAGAAAGTAGTATTTGTCTCGACCCGCTCACCCTTGCTGCGAAGAGGGATCAGAGCTTTGAGCTGGTGAAACTGTTGCGAAACGAGCTTCGAAGGAAGGAAAGAACCCTCCGTCTGGTGGGACTTTCGGACAGGTTTGCTGCTGTTGGGAGCGGGGCCTCATATCAAAACATCCGACCACGTTCCTGAAGCTGCCTTGGCCCGCCACATAGAGATTCAGACCATGCAGGTCTCGCCACCCGGAGAACCGGAGTCGAAAGGCTCGGAAGCGCTGGTTGAAGCTCGTGAAGCAAAGGCCATGTCGGACGATGGCTTGACTGCCTCGCCGAGGCATGCAGTGACTGTTTCTGAGAACTCTAGATCTGTGCAGGAGGCGAGAAGCTTCACGCTGCCTTCACCCACCCATTCCATGGAAGCATCGATCAAATGGAAGGGACGAGAGCAGGCGACGAAGTTTCGCATCAATGAGAGCCATGACCTCTGGCCAAGAATGACAACTAGGTGTTCGTAACCACCATCCCGGGTCTGAAACTCGTCCATGACCCGGATGAAGTCGATATCAGTCTCACAAGTCTCTATGCTGTTTAAGCCTGCACGAGCACATTGCAATTCGAAAGCCAGTCGGCTGCAGACTTCTTCCACTGCTATCAAGAAGTGAACGGATGTGCCGAGCTGCCCCAAGGAAGCAGCGTGACTGTCGCTCTCTGAGCTCAAGGTGTCCAAACGCTGCGGCATGACTGATTTCTGTACACAAGCATCGTCACAAGCACGTTCGGTTTGTCCATGCATCATGTAAAGCCGACGGCAGTTTGAACCGAAAGGGCTCAACACGGTTGATAGTGAGTTCGTGGGCAGCCAAGATGAACGGAACTCCTCAATCCCATAAATGTGACAAGGTGTCCAAGCTGCGATGCACGATAAATCCGAAGTTCGCGACATCCCGACCTAGTGAGTGCAATCTATCCTACGTAAAGTGTCTAGCAGGCGGACTGCATCGTTGCATCCGCACCGGTTCTCACTATGCATTCAGCAGAGGGATGGCCATCGAGGATGCAGTTCTGAAGCCGGTGACCGGTGACATATACAACCACAATGATATTGATGACAGCGACGATGATGGTATCCATGGCGATGTGGTGATGAACGTGATGTTCGCGGTAAGACTGTTGCAAACTTGCTTCCTGCTATCCTCAACGATCCGAGTCAACACTCCCCTGTTTGCGTTCGCAAAGACTGGAATTTGGGTTCCGGGCCCGACTGCAGCAGCCACGTGCCGGGACCTGGAGCTTCCAAAGTCTAAAACCATATCGCTCTATAGATATGAGCATCGTGATAAGATCCCGCTAGAATTACAACTTTCCTGCGGGCCCTGCCGCCTGCAAATCCTGCAATCCTTAGAAGGCATTGGGATCGCAGATCACCGAGCTTCTGCTGTGCTAGCCCCTAAACTCCTGATTACCTTCATCTGCTTAGCTAACTCTACTCCACCTCATAGTACTAGTATCAGTGCTATTACTAGCACCAGTAGGATTCCCACGCCCAACTACAACTGTTCGTAGCTTCATTACCATAAAATCCCAGCCGAACTACTAAATTCCTGTCCTGGATGTCCACAAGAAACACTTGCTTTAGTTCTTGGCCTACTGGCGTTTGGCACTCAGGTGCAACGATTACTGGGGTTGCTGTGCCGCTTGAGGTTTCGGGGGAGGCTCTGCAGTCTGTGTTTCGTTGGAGGATTAACAATGGTAGGCTTCAACTTGCAAGTGCAAGCCCTCAGCCGTCAACAGGAACCCAGAACAGCACGCAGTGAAGGAATCACCAATTAAATCTCCCCCGAATGCTCTACATCAGTCTCCGTGACCGCTCGGGTTGTGAGTTGCGGCCAACAACACGTTCGTCCGAATCGCCTCGTCGTCATCACCCTCGGAGTCCAACTCCTCGCTGGTCGACGAGGCCTCATATGCAAACACCACGGGCATCGTAAGGTCCCTGGGGTTACAGCATGTGTTTTGTGTGTGTGTGTGTGTGTGTGTGCCAAGCCATTAGCACCAATGCCCCGCACTCCACCCAGGGCTCCTTCAATCATGATGAGACTGTCTATCTTCCTCTCTTGATATGCTCCTCAAGCTATCTCCAAGACAGCTTGTGCTAAAGGGAACCCCAATCCGAGCGGCCCTACTAGCGAGCCCATTCAGCCCTTTAGGGGGTTGTAGCTAGGGTACAGGGTCTTCTAACCCAGCAGTGCTCCGAGCTTCGAGGATTAGGGCGGGCCTAGACTCCAAGCCCTTGTCCCCTAAACCCCAGCACTCTAAACACACTGAGCCTCAAAGCCGCCAGCCGAAAGTTGGACCCGATTCTAGGCTCTGGTCCAGGAACCCTGAACCCTAAAACTCCCAAACCCCGAAATAGGCGACCCGGCAGAGTATCCGCGCTTCAACTTTCGCCTTCCGAGCAGCAGAAGCCAAGGTGTAGACAGGCTTAGGATTCGTTGGGGCTCTCTACCCGATCAACAACGCACGTATGCTGAAGAATCCGTAGAGTTTAGTATACGGCCTTGGCTTCCGTTTTATGAGTGTTCCTCGGGGCTTTCGAACTGTTGCCTCGTCAAGTGGTCTTTCTTAGGATTTGAGCGGGCTTGTCATGTAGGGCCCATATGGAGCTTCGAATCTGGAGACATCATCGTCGTCGCTATGACCGGTTCACATTTCACAGACGCCAGCACAACATACTACGATCCTTGGGGCTCCTCGCATAGACTTTGAGCCCTCAACAGTGCACTGCTCTTCCTTCCGCACCCAGTGTTTTGGCACACTATGGTCTTCTACAGTGTCACCGGCTGTGTTCTGACCACTTCGGAGCCTTACCGGGGTGGGTTCAAGGTTTGCAAAAGCGACTGAGGGCTGACGATATCAAAGCCGCTGTCATCTTGTCGCTGCGTGCTAAACACGACAAGGCCTGTTAACAGAATCTCCATAATCAAAGCCTAGTTAGTATACATACATGCATGCATGCATGCGGACATGTACACACACAGAGATACATATGTACACACATACATATATATATATATATATGGATACATACACGCATACCCGCAAATATCCACACATATGTGTATGTATGTATACATATATATATATATAGTATACTACGTCTTCACCCATCTTTGAAAGCAGGCCCTTATTAAACACACTCACCAATGGCCACCCTACGTCACATCTGTACGTGGAACCAGGGATTTGGTGTCACCAAGCAGGCAAGAAACACCAGGGCAAGCAGTTTTGGGGACGGTTCATGGGAATTTCCGAAATTGCGCAAAGGGCGATCCCTGATTCTGAGGAACTCCCGATGTTGATCTACTGCCGGATTGCCGCAGAGAAGCTTCTTAGCCGATCGTTGGCCGCCGCGACGGCAGTGGCAAAGTCCCATTCCTGGCTGCACAACTTTCTCTCGTCGACGCTAGTCTCAACTCCGATTACAACACAACACAGAACGGAAGACAAAACACAGGAATATCCATCGGTATGGCTCTGGCAGTATTGTAGTGAACTCACGTGCAACCCGCTTACTGAATGGCCAAAGCGTGTGCTAGTGACGGTCGCCTACTCCGACGTCTGAGCCCTGCCGACCCCGACGACGAGGAGGACTGCCATCCTCGATACTTCTGCAGCCGTCGTAGTAGTAGTACTGGTGGTGGAAGTAGTAGTAGTAGTAGTAGTAGTAGTAGTAGTAGTAGTAGTAGTAGTAGTAGTAGTAGTAGTAGTAGTAGTAGTAGTAGTAGTCGTGGTAGTGGTAGTAGTAGTAGTAGTAGTAGTAGTAGTAGTAGTAGTAGTAGTAGTAGTAGTAGTAGTAGTAGTAGTAGTAGTAGTAGTAGTAGTAGTAGTAGTAGTAGTAGTAGTAGTAGTAGTAGTAGTGGTAGTAGTAGTAGTAGTAGTAGTAGTAGTAGTAGTGGTAGTAGTAGTAGTAGTAGTAGTAGTAGTAGTAGTAGTAGTAGTAGTAGTAGTCGTAGTAGTAGTGGTAGTAGTAGTAGTAGTAGTAGTAGCGAAAGCAGTAGCCGGAGCACCAGCAGCAGTAGCGGTCGCAGTCACAGCAACAATAGTGGAATTTTGTAGTCGGCTTCGTGGTAGCAGTAGCAGTAGTAGTTCTCGTCGTCGCAGTACTACCAGCAGCAGCATTAGTTGTAATAAGATTAACCATGATAACAACTAATAGCATTAATAATGGTAGAAGTAGCAGTGTAGTATAGTAGCACTAGCCGAAGCACCATCAGCGGCAGTTGTGGAAGTGTTGGTGTGAGGAGCAGGAGTCGTAGCACCAGGGGCGGTAGCAGCATTGGTATTGGTATCTGCATTCGTACGCAAATCAGTATTGGTGTTTTTTTCGTAGTCGTCTTCGTAGTGGCAGTAGTCGACGATGGAGTGTCACCAACTGCATCTTGGTCTCATGCCGTAATTTCTGAACAGCTTGTGCCATCCGTCCGTGCAAAGGATTTATTCATCCCAGAGAGTTTTTAACCGGGTCAGCAATAAGCATACCGAAACCTATAGGCTCAATGTCTGCAAGTCTTCTGCCTGCAAAGGTTTCGGATCTGGTATTGCCTGGTATCCCAAGATATCCCAAGCATTTGCGCAAACACCTCCCTTGCTGACTTTCTGCCTTTTGTAATGCACCCCGGCCTGCTTCTTTGCCTCGAGAAAGCGCGAGGAGCGCTCACGGACCATGCCAGGGCAAGATAAGCCAGGGCAGGGTGTGGGTTTCGGTGTGCTAGGCCAATTCCACAGAAACAAAACATCAGACGGGACGTGGCCCTTGGAACTTGACGTGGGTGTAAGACAGCTTTGTTGGGGCCTGTTGGGGTCACAAGCCTCTAAGATTTACAAATAGAATGATAACACGTTGTTGCAATCTGGGTCCTTGATTTCTTGTCCGTCTCTGTCAGTTGTCTTCTCATACTCACTAGCTTCTATCATCGCTACTGGTACAAGTATCCTGGTTGCTTGCTCCAGCATGTGGGGGCTCCGGCTTCGGGCACATTGAAGGTCTGGTGACACCCACTAGAGGGTGCGGTCTTAGACCTTTCAGTCCCCCCTAAGGCGTCAATGCAGCTGCGGGCGTCGAAGTAAGGTTGCAGTTCAGGTAGGATTTGTCAGGTCTTCGTAGTTCTGACATTCTAAGGTTCAGGAGTCTCATGCTGCAGGCCTTAGGATGTGAGGGATAAGTTTCGTGAAGAGCGTCAGATTCTCTGCTTGCCAAACACTTTGGCTGACTGCCCCGGAGGCAAGCTCGTCCTCTGCTCACAATCTGATTTGGACAGCAGAGTTGGAGACTTCAGTCCTAGTGTAGAGCGACCCAATCCAGTCCTAAACTTAGCACGGATCAGGTTGGGTAGAATTGGAGCCTCATTCCTGCGATATCAGAGCTCGAGGACATCTCCGAAAATTTCCGACATCAATCTTGGACTCCGAAATCTTGAATACCGGGCCTACACGGTTCGCTTTGGCGTGGGTCAATGCACAGCAACAAGACTCGGACGCAGTTCAGAGTTTATTTTGCGTGGCGGCTCGGAATGCAAGCAGACTTTGCCCTTCAGAGCCTGTACCCTAAACCCTACACCCTGAACCCCAAACCCCAAAGAAATGTAGAAGCTTTAGGACTCGAAGTCGTCTGTGTTGACAGCGGCTGGAGTCTGAGTCTGAAGACGGACTGTGATACACGCTTTCAGGATCTGTAGGATTCGTGACACTTCGTGCCTCATTCCAAGCCCCACATCATGGATGTGGCGATAAACTGAGCCGACCTGAGTGGGACAAAACCAGCTGTCACTGTCAGTGCTCATCTCTGCTTGGAGGTTCATGGGCAGTGATAAGTAGGGTTATAAGTAAGGTCACTATACTTATAACCCATATTCGGGGACTTATAGCCCTACTTATAACTACCCATGAACCTCCAAGTGGGTGTGGAGCAGCGTCGCGCTGTTTTCCCTTTGGACTCGCACCCTAATGCAGGTTGAAGGCTTAGAGTGCATTGCACCGGGGGGTTTGCGCGAGGAAGGTTCAATGTTGAGGAAACTTTGGGAGTTTACTAAGTAAAGCGCTGACGATCACTGTCGCTGGGGACGGCGCTGTTCCTCCAGCAGGAACGTCAAGGACGCCTCTGCGCGGCTTCAGGGATTCCGAATGAAATCAAGGATGGCGGCTCGGCTTAACAGGATTCTCAGAGCAGGCATCACATGGCGGCATTGGAATTCTTTTTAGGGTTCATTAAAATTAGTGTAGTATAACAAACCCCAAAACACTGTTCTAATCATGACGGCCCGTCTTTCTAGCAGCTTCGAGATAAGAGCCAGGAACAGCGGGAACACATGTCTCGGCAGGCCTTGCGCAGAAGCCACTTCCGTTGAAAGCAATCCAAGCCGTCGAAGACATTTCTGGCACGGGTTCACTACTATAGAATATATACCAAACTAGACTAGACTATACTGCACTATATACATATATACAGATATATGTGTGTGTATATATATATATATATATATATATATATATATGGTACCCCCCCCCCCCCCAAAACCCACGCTTCGCTGTCAGGTACTCTCGACTTGCCCAACTTCATCGGGGCATGGATGCAGCTGCAATAACGTTCAGGGTCTTTCAGGGCTTCTCAATTTGAGGGATTCGCGACGCGACGTGTAAGTATCTGATGCTCAAAGGGCCTCGCTGTGACGGATACTTCAGCGGATTTGCGGATTCGCAGATTCGCAGATTCGTGGATTCGCGGATTCGCAGATTCACAGATTCGCAGATTCACAGATTCGCAGATTCGCAGATTCGCAGATTCGCAGATTCGCGGATTCGCAGATTCGCAGATTCTATATATGCGCCACAACCTATGGTCTGTCAAATCTGCGAATCTGCGAATCTGGGAATCTGCGAATTCGCGAATCCGCGAATCTGCGAATCTGCAACATATTATCAAAAACTATATTTTAGTATATGTTTCATATGCGAAGGCGTTCACACTCGTGTCCAAACATCACAACCTGTGAAACATCATGACATCCAGATTTCGTTTCTTTCTCAAGCACAGAGGCTGATACATGTGCGCATAAAGGAATCTGGTAGTGCCAAGGCAGGAAAAATTTGTTGTTCCGGTGTGTGTAAAGACCCTGTTTGCTTCTTTTCAACATAAATCCAAATAACGGCATCATTCAAAAAGTTAACCTATGTGAAAGCTTTTTGTTGCTTCTCCATGCCTGTGGTTAATCAGATTACATACTTGAAATACTAAGTAAACATCCCATTCTATAGTGTTCTGCTTATAATATCTTCATTTTCATTTGTCATGTGCCAGACTAGTTGTCTTTTGGCCACTCATCAGTCCAACTCATGTATAGGAACCCACTATCATTGCCAAAATGAAGCCTCTAAAATGCATGCGGGCGTATCTAAATGCATGTCGGTTAAATTTTCTGCTTATATCAAGATAAGGAGCTAGCCATTTCAAACGGGTTACGCACATATTTAGTCTACTTGCTGCCAAGCCGGGTAATTGTTATTCACCTTTTGCATTCTGACAGCCCTATGCCAGAGGCAAGCAATTGAAAACATATGGGTTGGTGAATGGATGCACTTGTCCCGTGATTGAAACATGACCAGACCATGGTAATGTAGATAATTAGCTAATTCCAGGTGCTTACACAGTGTATGTCACAGTAGTATGTATACACAAAAACGTTGATTTAACCAGTCACCTAAGCAACTTACTGGCAATATTTGCTAGTGGTATACCCGTGCTTTCTTAATTTAGTTTATGATGGAAGTTATGACAGTAAACTGAACGAGTTGTTTGGCCCCTGCTTGAACTAACCCATGTAGCACGCCAGCGATTTTGCGAGTATTATCACGGATACATTGAATACTACGAGCCAGGACGAGGGACTGGTGATATCAGTGGCCAGCAGGGAAATCTACTACGGATTGCTAGTACTCATACCACCACTCAAGCTAAACGATATGCTCTGAGCGTTGGCAACGATGGTAATATCTGACGCCAATACTCGTAATAATGTGGGAGCAGGTAATGCTGGGAGCTAGAGGATTACGGGCAGCCTTGGTTTCGAAAATGTAGTGCTGCGGTGACTTGCAGGCCGCAGGCCACAGACATGTAGAATTTCAGGGTTCGTGGGCTGCAAAACAGGCCGAACCCAAATCCCGCTTAATGTTGTGCACGCCGGGCCCAATACTAATTTCAGTTCTCAGGGGTGACTTCCTACAACGGGAAAGGATTAAGCCGATGTAGGGAAATTAGCTAGTCAATGGTTCTAGAAGACAGCAGGCTTCTCATCCAAATCATGTCATATTGTGCAATGAGTCAGTTAATCAACAGCTAGGTTCGTTCAAGGGGACCTGGAACCTACACCCAGGGCTTCGGGACTAGGGCTTAGGGCTTAGGGTTCAAGGTTTAGGGTCTAGGGTCTCTAGGGCTTAGGGCTTACGATAGGAATTGAGATTTGTCTGTCTGTGTGCCAATTAGAAACACTCCTTTTCCTTTTCGATGTTTTCTCCGGAGCTTGTTTGGTTATCTGTTCCTGTTTGGCTGGCTCATACAAACAATAATTGAGGAAATATGTTTTACGGAACTTCCAACGAAGCAATCCTATGGCAGTGAGGAAGGGCAAAATTGAATATTAATTCCTAATAGCAGTTGTACTAGTACTGTATCAAACTGTCTAAAATCTTATAAGAATATTTACATTTTTTGCTCCAGGGCAGACAACAAAACAATACTTCACTAGATTATCTTGGTTATATTGTGTTTTGCGTAATTCCTAACATTAATTACAGTAATGCTGTATCAAATTGGACAAATATTTATAAGAATATTTATAATTCTAGTTATTAAGCAGATAACAGCAATACTTCACTAGATTATCTTGTCTACACCGTATTTTGCACACGCGTGGATAGCACATGTAGGAATGCTGGAGTGAATTATCAGGATCTTTTACTAGTTCTTGCGGGTCTTAGGGGGGGGGGGTAGCATATATATATATATATATACACACACACACACCTTGCTCTACTTATGTTTGTAATCGTGCTTTTCCTGGAACTTACACTTGCACTATTGCTGTATGCTACTGGATATACTATGCGACATAATATACTGCATACAATACTGCTTACTGCTCATACTATGTACTATACTAGATACTATGCTGTATGATATACTGTACTATACTCTATACTTTACCATATACGATGCGGCATACTGTACTATATGCTATACTATATGGAGTATTGTAGAATATGTTTTATTGTCCTACACTTCACTATACTCTACTACAGTATAACTACCATGGCAGGCTAGGTTGCACAAAAACCAATCTAATGCCATGCATCACAATATGCTCCAACAGAACATCATATTTTGCATAACGATATACGTGTATCTAGTGTACTGTAATTTTAACAAACACAGGCCTTCACACCCGCCGCCCTACAAGGCGGCTCTTATAGGAGTAGTTAAGCACTGCATATTCCATCAACGCAACCTCGCTTACTTCTTGCATGGTTCGCAGTCGGAAACTCACACCCCAACCGTTGTGCCTGGGAATTTACTGGGCAGTCCTTGCTCGCATGATCTTTGCGTGGCTGAGGGGTGCATGTAGCTTTATATCCCCTACCATAACTGAGCAATATGAAACCAATAACGACGACGT